CTTCCTTTCTTCCTTTCTTCCTTTCTTCCTTTCTTCCTTTCTTCCTTTCTTCCTTTAGAGCAGTTTATTTCAATGAATTGTATTCATTTTCCCCAGATGCGCATTTTACTTTTATACGTGTACGGCTGGAGTAACTACTACTACGATCAAGTAGTTATTGTCCTCACAACATTTGATCCTCTCATAAACCACTGCGTCTGTCTATGGATCATGAGAAAATACCGCGACGGTTATGCTAGTTCAATGGGCAGTCTAGTATCTTGCTTTAAGATCTCTGATGATGGTATATGGGCGACTACAATCACTAGATTGAGCTCCATGTCTCGACGGTCGACATATTCAAGAGCGTCGACACGGTCTTCTTCCAGACAGCCATCAAAACGTAAGAAATCTTTTATCGTGAGCTCTTATTGCTAAGGTTATCATTGGTTATGATCTATCGCAGGATTTAGGATTTTTTTGGGGGGAGGGGAGGGGGTAAACATTCACACTAATACAACATAAGAATNCTAAGGTTATCATTGGTTATGATCTATCGCAGGATTTAGGATTTTTTTGGGGGGAGGGGAGGGGGTAAACATTCACACTAATACAACATAAGAATAAAAGTAATGATAATTAAAAAGATACTAAAGGGGAAAGATTGAAACAACAACAACAACAACAAAAAATCACGAAAGCTATGGTGAGGGTCACACAACAGAGCGAGGCTTCAAATTAAGTGTGCCTTGATCAGCTATATATTGACAGGTATCAGAGGGATTACGCAAAAAGAGAGTAGCAATTACTAGTAACAAGATCACGGCCATAAAATATTGTGCAAATGTGGCTCCAGTTTAAGGCGGGAAAAAGAGACGCGTCCGCGTTGGCTTGCATAAATAGCAATACGCTTGCGCTCCCATTTGATCGCTGTTTCCAGTTAGAATTTTAAACATTTAAAAAATCGTTTTGAATAAATGAAACGACAAAAATTAAGTGATGCATGATAAAAAAAAGGTGGGATAGGATTAGAAACCACGAACTCGGACATCTATATGATTATAAATACATGAAATGACAAGAAGTGAAAGAGAAGGAAACTCGTAAAAAATCTAATAACTGTTGTCATAAATTGTTGTTCAGCTTACGTCTACAAGCAAGTGCCTCAAAATATAGAAGCCAATCGACCACCCGATCTTCTTCCAGATATCGAGGATCAACAAAAACAATTTCCTGTACTGAATCCAGAAAAAGAAGACAAAACGAGCGAGAAACGAGTTCTAGATAAAAGAATATATTCTGATACGAATAAAGAGTGGTCAGAGTTGATTAAAGAACTCAATGCAGAAAAAAATGAAAAATCACCTAGAGTTTCGTCAGAATTTCAGCGTAGCAAAATTGAAGCTATTATGGAAGTGCCTCAAGAAGGTGTTTCGAAGCATTATAAAACAAAGTCTAAATGGTTGGAAATTATTCAGAAACATAAAGCAAAAAACCAGGGTGATTTAGAAAAAGGAAAGGTTGATATACTAGAGGAGAGGTCTGCAGGCTTTGATGTAACTGCTGGCGGATCTCTGCAGGTTGGTGCTCAACAATATGCGTTGAAAAAGAAAGACAATCTTCCTGAACTTTTGCAGGAAATTAAGAGAGAAACAAAGAGTGCCAGGCCTGAGTTGCTGGGGTGCGTCGAGCCTGGGACGTCAAGAGATAATGATATCAACCCAATACCTGAACTTTTGCAAGACATTAAATCAAATGATGAAGAAACAACGAAAACGCAGAATAGACGTTCATCTGGAGATAAAGAATCTGAGCAAAAGGATGCATCAAGTAGTGAGCCAAAAGCAGAAGAAGATGAACAAGGTCCTGATGCGCAAAAGGAAAATCAAGACAAGGAAGAGAATTCCCAAGATTAATGGAATTTTGGTATAAGTTATTTTAAGTGCGCAAAATTACCAAAGGCTTTTCGATGTTTTTCCCTGATGTAACTTTATCAAGGGAACAAGATTTTTCCGCAGCTAGTACGTTAATAATAATAAATGCATCCGACTGTGAGATGGTCGTGACCAGGGCAAAGGGCTGATCAAAGAAAATGAGAAATGCCGAATGTATTTTCATAAAATTAATGATACAGGTGACGTCATCTGCTAGTTAAAATAATGACGTATTGAAGATATATGTATATAGTGACAGACATAAACAAAGGAAGTAAGGCCGAATCTTGAGCTGTTTCTGACGTCAAGACCAATGATTTCTGACGTCATAAGCTGGATCAATCATAGGCGAAGATGACGTAATCTACTTGACAAGCTACAACGACCATAGCAACTAGAGATGATTTATTTTGGTAAATACCAAAATAATTTCCAACCCAAGTGTCACGCAAGGCGATGTAGAGAAAAGAAGAGTGTGTTGCGTGACAAGACTACCGCAAACGACTGAATGCATGAGAGAAGTTGACTGGGATGCTGTACATTTTTTAGTCAATTTCGGACGAGGATAATGAATCATACCTCGGCGTAGAAGAAGACGGCATCCTGCCATGCGAAAAAATCAAATATTGACAATTTTTGTCCCCTCGAATGGTAAGTATACAGGAATCTGGAATTGATAGGTTCTTTGATCTGTTCACATCGAAGATGCACAAAACGAATCAAGGCCTAGACAAACACAAATAGTGGCGCAAATTATATTATATAGAATAAAATAACTAATCATAAAGATGATAACAATGCAGCTAATAATAATAATGACAGTGATGGTGATGAATGATTGTGATGATGATAATAATGGTTGATATTTAATAATTATGATTTGGTAAATGATAATGATAACAATCATAATGGCTATGCTAATAATAATAATAATAATAATAATAATAATTATACAGCTTCTCATTAATCCCATATAGGTAACTGTCCAATTATTTTCTTAATTGGACAGGTCTTGTTGATATGGGATTAATTAGGCAKCTATATAATTAATAGGTAATGGGATTTCATGCTCACCAATCAAGAAATAATTAGACTCGAAAAATTCCTCTGACTACCAAATTGGACTCAGCCTACGGCCTCATCCAATTTTGTCAGTCCTCGGAATTTTCCTCGTCCAATTATGGAGTCCTATTACATCTACTAATAGTAATATGATAATAATAATAATAATAATAATAATAATAATAATAATGCTAATTAATGCATAATACTAATATGAAAATAATGCGTATATTGATCCTTTGCTACCCAGATATTTATTGATTAATAACGATCAATTATTAATAGATAATATTACGATAACCAAAGTATTTTTGTTTGTCTAGGCCTCTAGATTTATAGTTAGATTATTTACAAACAATTCTATAAAAACACTTATTATCATTTTGCATCAAAAGTCACATATCTGTTACTGGATGGCAAAAAGGGCTTCCTTTATTTAAAGAGCTTTTGCTGGATTACTAATGTGATACATGTATTCAAAACCTTTATCAAAATCCTTTTTTTTCCCTTACAAGATACTTTCCATTTCAAGATACCAAGCATTTTAAAGTTTGTTTGCCATCCAGCAGAGCCTTCCCCAAGGGACCTTGGGCTGAATTGATTCGTTATCAAAGTTAYATATCAGAACGTGACTGTTTGTTGCAAAGGGCCTATTTAAAGCCCCGTTTACACTTGCGATTTTTGCGGAGATTTTTGCGGCGATTTTTGCTGCGATTTTTTTGCGATTTTRTCCATAATAAATGATGGTAAAGAATTTACTTGTAAAGTTTTTATCAGGATACCAAGATTTTCCTAGACGAATGTCTCTTTTGAAGGATGAGACAAAAGATTTCATATTTCCAAAATATGCCACAAAAATCGCCGCAAAAATCGCCAGTGTAAACGGGGCTTTACGATTTCCTCTTTGGAAAACTTCTAGTATGATTGCGGGATAATGCGCACGAGAATTAATCTAAATAGCGGGAGATATGGCTTAAATAAACGTGCATTTTAAATCTAAATGGGACTGCTATCGGGAAAAAGTCTACTTTACACGAAGATTTCACTCAAAATTATTCAATTCGTAAATATCTAATGATTCAAAGGGTTTTTCTCCCAGAATGAATGCCTAATTTTTTAATATTCCCAAATCATAGAAAATCAAGTTAAAATTGTATATACATTTTAGTAGAATTAAGTTTTATTTTTGTACTTTCTCAACGATCAGTAATTGAATCATTTAAGAGAAAGTTTCTGGAGTCGGAAGAGAAAATGTACAGAGTAAAACAGGAGAGCGCATTGATAGACGATGAGTTGCGCGCTTAGGCTGACCGTGGTTTTTCGTTCTTCTGTCTTTGCTCAGTGATCAGAAGAAGTACGTGTTGATAATTAAAGGTTGTGTAGCAGTAAGCACTCGCCTCCCACCTCTGGGTTTTCGGGTTTGATTCCTGGAATCACCATCACATGTGAGTAGAGTTTGTTAGGTCTCTCCCTTGATTCAATCCGCGGCAAAATGTAACGTGCAGTCCAGAGGATTTGAGGGTGTGAAGGTTTCAAACTACGTGCAAAATCTGTGTTAAGTGTGCCTAACAGTACAGTGCGCTCTCCTTGGTTTAACTATAATTGGTTATTTTACTGGACTGGTCCAAACTAGATTATCAAGCGCACAGTCCAAAACAATGGGGTGGACAGACAGACCATCCCATTACTCTGGATAATCGAGCGCGTCTTTGAAAACTCCCGAGGAGGTTCATATTTCTAGCAATTGAATGTAGAACACATGCGCAATATACATTTTTATAGCCAGAAGAGAGAATGGAAGAATAGAAGTGAGAATGTTAGTGCAATTTTTGTATGACTGTGAAAAATTCACGGCACGAACACGGCCATGACATGGCAAGGGATATGTCAGACCAATCACATTGTACGAGAATTTACTCACCACCCAACACACGGCGGGGACACGGTCACGCCAAGTTCACGGCAATGCCAGACCAATCACATTGCGCGTGAAAAAAAATCAGTCAATTAAAATTCTAGAAAGCATCACGGTCACGGCACGTCACGCTTACGGCATGCACTGAGCTTTTCACAGCCATACGAAAACTGCTCTAGGGTTAGCGTATTGGATGTGAAGCTATAAAGGTGCAGGGGGTAGACACCCCCTAACCGAATACGGACTTAGAACACCATACATGCACGCCCAGCGTCAAGGTTGTATATGAGGCCCACACACATGGCCTGATATCTTCCAGTCGTAGATTCCAACTAGATGATATTCAAAGGACTACTTTTGGTGCACGAAAATTAGAGTTTTTGCAGGATCACGCGACAACGTTAGATGGCATCCAGAACAATGGAATCCCTTTACATCGAGGAATCGAATTGTTCTCGTGGAAAACAATTGCATCGTTTCTACCATCCAACTGGCCGCAATAATAAAACGCGCCAAACCTCTACAGAAAGCTAATTTAGCAACTTGAACGACGCAATTTTAAGCTCTATAAACGTTAGTACAGCTATCCATGCATGGACCATCTTCAAAGTTGATGTCCTAAGTTGATGTCGTTGACTACGAGAGAAACTAAGAATATAAACTCGATGAGGAGGCCATTCATGAAGAAAAGGCGCGCGAATGAGAAATGTTTTTGTGTTTTCACTATATTCATGTAAAATAATATGTGTAATATGTACCTTTWATGCGTCCGTCATCGGGTCTGAAGACAAAAACGTTTGCGCAATCAGTGCCGATCAGTCCAGTAAGATATCGAATTAGTTTTACAATAATTTAATGCAGATAATTTATTATACTTAATGTTATCTTGTTAAGATGGTGTGACAAAATTGAAGTAAATGGGGTCGGGTAGGTAGGGGAATTTTAACAAGTGAATTATTTGATATCTTATATTCATTAATTTCGATATCCTTAAAGTGCCTATAACCTTTATAGGATTATGATAAATTTTGATTTTCTGTGTGTTGGAGATGAATAAACAAAAAAATTTCCAATTGACTAAATATTCTCGGAGATATAACGCCCTAAAGCACGCAGTTTTGCCACGCCCCATCGATTTGGACGGGATAAATGGAAACTGGGACCGAGCAGAGTCTCGCTGAGTGGTAACGTCACAACAAGAACGAATGTTTTGATAAGCAAAGATTCTTACTAGTTCTTCGGTCAGAATATGAGAAAATACCGACTAGATGTGTTGTTGCTGGGTGCTCAAATACCCCAGATTTTACGAAAGGTATATACTTCCGAGTCGTTCTTGTTGTGACGTCATTCGACGCCAACTACGTACCAGACCTCGCGATACCGTCCAAATCAATGGGGCGTGGCAAAACTGCGTACTTTAGGGCGTTATATCTCCGAGTATATTTAGTCAATCGAAATTTTTTTTTTGTCTTTTCATCTCCAACACATGCACAGAAAATCAAAATTGATCATAATCCTATAAAGGTTATAGGCACTTAGGCACTGTCTACTTACCTTTGTAGACATATGATAATGGCGGCAACGATTCTATTTGTCTTAGAACGATTTTTGTATGAGTGGAAAGTGGATAGTACGGTTAGGGTAAACGTTTGGAGTCTCTAGATCTTGAGTGTGTCACACCTCCACTCAAACCAAGTCTGCTCTAAGACGCGAGTTAGCACGCGCGACGCTGGTATGGAAAATGTCCTACCAATTAAAAAAAAAAAATTCTTATCAAAGTCCCCATAATTTATTAGCAACAACGTTCATGTTTGCACTGTTGCTAGGCAACATTGGATATGAAACGTATTACGCATGGCCGGGAGATCAAAAAGGGGGAGGGGGAGGGGTAGGGGGAATTCCTTTCGTTTCATTTCATCGGAAAGAAATCGTTTCATGCATGTCGACAAGTTTTCGGTGCTTTCTCGTATTTTCCGAATGTGCGCAATACGTTTTACGAAGTCCTATTTGGGACAACATTCAATTAATATTGAACACAAATTATTGCTATCAACAAAGCACATTAAACCAAATAATTGTAAATAATACAAGCAAAGCTTGAAAATATTTAATGGTGAATCAAATAATCCTTCATATGCAGCTCCTGGTTAAGAGGGAGCTTTGAATTTATCAACCATTATTTGTTGGTTACACGAGAATAAATTCGGTTTATTTTCCAATAAATTAACATTTATGTATCGCGGAGTTAGTTGTAATGTTGGGAAAGAAGTGTATTAAAGGCTTATTAACATGGATATATATTTATTGCAATGAAATATTTATGAACTTTAAAGTCGTAGACATGAGTAAGCCATTGGTTAATACAAGAAATCATTATTTTGTCTGACTGCGCATCGAGTGCATATTTCGAAGGAAAATTTAAGATTATCCTATATCTTTATGTCATAAAATGTTCAAAATTCTTCGACGTATCTGATGAGCCTACGAATATCCTGCACTTGCTTTTTGCCAAAGTCCAATGCTTTTCAGCAGTGTAACTGTATAATTGCGCAAATCTTAGACCCCTTCCACACGTATCCGGAAATTTTTTTATCCGGACACGTGTTAGCCTCCTTCGCAGCCGTTCTTAGGGTCGTCACGCGGGGAGGGAAACGTTGCGTGACGACCCTAAGAACGGCTGCGAAGGAGGCTAGACACGTGTGGACGCAACCCGTATCCGCAAATTAACAAATAGACATCAGTTTTTTATGTGTCTGTCCTCTTATTGACGATAAATTGAGTCAACACATTGTCAAAATAGTGTGGATCCACGAGGCGTAGCCGATATATCCAATATATCTCAATAGCATCTTAATGTAGGGATGAGAATATGTGGACCGCGTAGCACTTAGCATCTTAATGTAGGAAAATTTGTCGTAAATATCTGTAACGGTCCACAGAGTCACCTATAAACACATGATGTATACAGGACTTTGAAAAACCTTTGCCGCTGACCGGCTTCACATGACTTCAACCAGTGCCATGATCCAAAAAAWTTTTAAAAAAATTCTTTGCATTTTTTTTGCAAAATTTCGGAATAGAATCACCAGTTATTTATAATAAAATACAAATCATAGCATAAAAGCTGCAAATTCGGCGTAAAAAAGCGTCTACGTTCCGTACAATTCAGCCAATCGAAGTCCAGTCCATTCCACCTACGTCCGGTTCCGGATTTTCCAAAATTAAAAAATACTCAAAATTCAGGCATTTAGAAGAGGAAAACAGGTTTTAGAAGTTGGGCATGTTTTTGTTATATTTTAAGATTATCCATGGCTATTCAAAAGGTGAAAATTCAAAACTTTTATTTTTTATTTTACTGGGTTGCCTGTGGCAGCCCAGCCCACTTTTGAATGAATTTGATGTGAGAAAAAATAAGTGTTTGCAAGTTCTGAAAGAAAACTACACCTAAAATGTCCCAAATAYCCCGCTCCAAAATAGTGGTACATAATGAAGATTAGATGTTAAATAAGCTCCAGCATACCAGCACATTGGGCAACCCAGTACACGCTTCAAGAGGGTCTTGTTGTCCATAATAAATGATAATTTATTTTTCTATATACTATATTCATATTTCCTGTGCTTTCTTGATAAACGTTCCTGTGACAGAAAAAACACAATGGTTACATTAGTCTATATAAGACGCGAAAGCGTACCTACTCGAGTCAGCTAGAAAATGAGGGTTTCAAGGCTGTTGAGATGTTGTCTTTTCGTGATGCTTTATAGCTATGTGTTACCTTTATTTTATGTCATAGAGATGACAGTGGTAATGACAATGCTTCTACTACTGCTGATGATGATAATGGTGTTGATGATGATGATGGTGATGATGATGATGGTGATGATGATGATACATGAGGATGATGGTGATGATGATGGTTTTGATGATGATGCTGATGTGAATGATGGTGATGTTGGTGATGATGGCATTAACGGTGATGATGATGGCGATTATGGTGATGATTTAAGAGATGATGTAACTCATGATTGTGTTGGCCGTGCTATGTCCGTGATACAAAATGTTGTATGAAAAAATCTTCTCATTGCATTCATAGCGTGAATTACTTGTAGTTATTGTTGCAGGTTTACTAACCTTCTCCATCATACTCTTTAACTCGTCCAGGAAGGGTAAAAGTCATGCCTGATGTACTGTTGTACAGCACGACACGATCACTGTCATAGCTGGCAGCGTATAATGTACGGTAATCTGCAAAACTGAACACATACATCAAGCTGTACATTATGTCCCTTTGAGGGAAATATAATAATGGAGGCGTGTCTTCTATCAAACTCACACTGCTCGCACCCACGTCTGTACATAAATGATGGAATTCCAAAAGTTTATTTCCAGGTAAAACAAAATATGACTTCATATATAAAAGTGAGGTTAATCTAAACCACGTTTTTAGAACGTGCATTTTATACAGCATTAGAAATTAAGATCAGAAAAATATTTATTAATGTTCCCAAAACTCATGGACGGTCAACAAGCGAGATGACATATCCTTAGTGAGGATCATAGGAACCAGCTTGGAAAATTCTTGTAGTGGTATTAATTTTCTTTACCTTACACTTGACGGCCCAGACAATCCTCCACCTGATGCATATACATCTATGAATTTCCCTAATTTTTTGAACAGAAATTGTGCATTTATTGACAAGTTTGCAAGGATTTTCAAGAGAGTGAAATAGCAAAGACATGGCAGCCATGCATGTTGGTGAGTACTTTGGGGCTAATGAGGAATATTTTGCTAAATATCACTGACATGGCTGCATTGACATAACATGTGAACCAAGTATGTGTTTCTACGAGCATATTTTCCCAAAAAATATTTTTGAGTTCCTTAAGGGGCTTTCTAGATCACTTGAACCTATTCTTCATACTTATTCTTTGTTATCTTGTTACTACAGATAGGGATCCAATACTAACCCATTTTCCCATCGTACCTCAGAATGCTATTTGTAACATAGCTTGTCACGTAAACGTTTCTAAAACCAATGAAAAAGAAAAGAGATCAGTAACAAAAATTCTGTAAAAGAAGAAAAAAAATTCTTCAAGTTTGTTTATCATGAAATGTTTATGAATTTCTGCCATTGAAGTGATTTACGTCCTTTATTAGGCTGCTTTATGTATACTAGATAGAATACCTGTCAGAGCCAACTGTCAGTCCAACTGGTCTCTCTACCTTGGCGAATTCACCAAGAAATTTATCTTTAAAGAGAAGAAAGCATTTGGTTGGAATTTGGCTGCCATCCACCAATCCATCTCTCCATCCATAATTGATCTATTCTTCCCTCCCTCAATCTATCCTGGCATCCATCTGTATGTCCTTCCCACCATCCAAAATCCCTTCCTTCCTTTGCATACTCTACTGTAACTGCTGATGCTGATTGTGTATAGTGCTCTAATATGACTTACTAGTTGTACTGTTAAACTTCAGTACATTATCAGTATAATGACTGCATACAAGGAGTGTTCCATCGGGAAGAAGAACAACATCTTCAGGACTATAACAAGATAACGTATATATAAATTAATACAAGGGCATTTCCCTGCCAATACACACAGGGGGGGGGGGAGGGGGCATTGCCTTCATTGCTACACCCCTATTCCTATTCATGATACTATATGGGATTCCACTAGTGTGCATCTTCCAACCGTTACATATGTACAATGGACAATTTTCAACATCTGGTATTCTTGATTCAAACAAAGTTTTGAAGGCTTCAATCTGTTATTATTTCTAACAGTTGTCAAAAATCATCTGGCATGTAATAATTTTTTAATTTAGTTTTTTTCACCTATTTGATAAGTATATATACATGAAGGTAACACCTAGCTAATAGTGAGAACTCTACCAATTGTCTATTGGTTAGCCATTATGAACACATCCGATACCTGATGAATAGGTATTTTTGGATCAAATGCCTGTTGTATTTAGGTTCTCTGTACAGGAATACCTAAATGCAGGTACTCTTCTAGTCTATTATGCATCTTTTAAACTGAACAAAAATATTTTTTACCCTTTTATACCATTACTTTTATCTGCAACCTGTAAAAAAATACAAATTTGCTTTTATGTTGTGTACCTGATGAAAATATCAATATTGTTTGAATGCAGATGAATTATGATATAGAATTAAACCTCGAAGAAAAATTAGAAAGTATTTTACCATTAGTTATTTCCTTTTTTGACTTTATCAAGTCTTTGGACCTCAGGTACACCTCAGACCTTTCTCACCCCTTAGAAATTCCAATCCCCACCATGGGGGAGGTATGGATATTTTCTGGAACTACAAAATATACCCTCCTCAGACCCTCCCCACCCTTTGGAAATTCCAATCTCCTTCCATGGGGGAGGTATGGATATTTTCTGGAACTACACAATATACCCTCCTCAGACCCTTCCCACCCCTTAGAAATTCCACCAATCTCCTCCATGGGGGAGGTATGGATATTTATAGTACTATACAATATATCCTTTTCAGATCCTCCCCACCTCTATGCGATTACTGTTACCATGGGGACTGACACTCACCACACCAAGGAAGTGTCCATCAAGAGAGTACTTCAGAATATTATCATTAAGGAAGCTAGCAACAAAAAGAGTTCTGTTGGGTCCCACGACCATCCCTTCAGGGCAGTCTAATGGGTCACTGTCACTACCAAATGCACTGATGAACTTCCCAGATGATAACTCATATTTATGAATTCTGTCTGTTGTAAAACTTGCAACATATAGGAAGATGCCATCTGAAAAAAAAAACATTATCTAGGCTGATAAATCATAAGCTAATAACATCGCCCAGGGGGGATAGTTATTTTTGGGGGGACTTCAAGAGGGGGTCTTATGAATTATTTTGTCATTTAAAGATTTCACCTGCCCCCCCCCCCTCTGTCATACATTATGAACCAGCCTTAGTAGTAGTATATGCTTTTATTTAGACAGGGTAAATCCTTTCAGTAAAATATGTACGATTCATTGTTATTAACAGAAGCCCTAAATGTTACAATTTGTTTTTTAGTATGACATTTGTCAACACTTATTGAATCAATAGGAATGTTCAATTTTCTTTGACCCTTTTGTGTGACAGATATTCTTTCTTTATAGTGAAAAGTCTTAGAGGGTGATAGAGATTCAGATGACATACGTACCGGACACCATTCCCCATGGTCCATCAAGTCCATGGCCTTGAGCAAATGTTATTGCATGACTGTCTTTCTGTCTGGTGTCTGATACATACAACACCTAGTCAATGTTCATAATAATTAATCAAAAAGAAGTAGCTGTTTAATGGAAGTAACTAATTTAATAGAGAAATCATCAGTTGAAGACAACAATTTTTTTAAGTGTTATAACTATATAATTAAAAAAACATTTACCTGGTCATCCAGGAAGCTGACAGTATTCCAAGTAAAATGCAGGTTATGAAATGATTGAAAGTAAAAGAAAGTTAATGAAAAATGAATAAGTGAATGAATAAATGAATAAATGGATGGGTGGATGAATGAATGAAAGAATTGATTAAGGGATGAACGAATGAATAAATGAATGAATAGATGGATGAAGGAATGGATGGATGAATAGATGAATGATTGATTGTTTGATTGATAATTGATTGATTGAATAAATGAATGGATAGATGGTTGAAAGAATGGATAGATGAATGAATGAATGGGAATCTAACTTGAAACATCTATGGGGTAATTCTTTGCTTCTAAACAATTTATTTTCCTTAAGATCATTTACCAGTTAGGTCATTCGCTCAATACTGATCTAGTGAAGAAAACTCAAATAAAAATTAATATCGAACAAAAAGACTTTCAAAACTAATCTTTGTTTGCACATGATGTCATAGTCCCCATTATGGATGAATTTAACAAAAGAATTGTCAACGAATTATTTTGTCATATCAACCAAAATGGCCACCATCGCTTTTGCTATTTCATTCCCTTGGAAGTGATTAAAAACCAGCAAAAGAATCAATAAACTTGTACTCACAAAAATCAGCTTACCTTGAAATGAAAAGAGAATGTTCAGGTGTTGCAAGGATGTATGATGGCTTCTTGACTCGATCTAGTTCTTTGACGATTTGGGTCACCTTTCCTTCCCTTAATAATGAAATCAAATAATAAATTAGACTGATTAGCTTAGGTAAGCTTAAATATTTACTTTAATTCAATCTCTACGAAAGTCCTGATAATTCTTAATTTTAATTAAGAAAGTTAAAATTTAATTTGATAATCTTACCATAAATAATGAGCAACTTGAAAAGTAGGATTTATAAATGTTTCTGGTAGAGGTATTTCTTGTGCTACGCTTAAAGCGATCCTAGAAACAAACAAAATACAATTTGCGAAAAAAAAAAATGAAATTATATAATTTGAAGGGGTAAATCGAACTAAAAGCTTATATAACGTCTTAAAAAAATAGTAATACTTTAGTGAAGAGAATAAATATAAAAATATAGCACTTCTATCGAAAAAATGTACAATTAGATTATCTTTCTGTGGTAAATTTATCAAAATCGGTCTTACCAAAAGACCGTAAAATTGAGAAAAACTTTGACAAATAAGAAAACTCCAGCTGACTCGACCGCCATATTGAAAACAACCCATATTGCAACGTGCGCCGGGTAAACAAACCAAATCCACAGGAAGCCCGTGTTTTAAACAACCCACCCACATGCTAGCCATCATAATCATAATCGTAATCATAATCTCTAAAGCAAACTTCCTATTTCCTAAGAAAATTATTTTAAAAATTGCTCTTGAATAAAATTATTTGCTTAATTATTTGCTTAATTTTGAGAGCCTTTTGATTGCTTTTTGTGTGTAGAATGTGCCCTTTTAGCCTCGTTTCAATTCCGCTAGCCCCTAATCTATTTTTTATTATAGAAATATAAATCACTAAGCTTGAGCTTGTGTTATGAATCTAAATATAATGTGTTTGACTTGAAAGTATATTTTAATCTTAAAAAATATGAGACTTTTACGATTTGCATAATGTATTGTTTCGTGTACTGCTTATTATGGTCATCAAGTTCAGCTGTCAATGTATACATTTATAGATATATATGCACATACATTAGAACGAACTGTTTTCTAAATACAGATATTGCACTCATGGAAAACGTGATCTTTCTCGTCATTGTTCGTGGATTAATATTCGTTACTTATGCGATAGCTTTCTGTTCGGGGAATGTATAAATTGCAATCTTGAGTAGACGAATACTGCGTTACTGCAATACCGGATGGTCTACATAAAATAGGTGAGTGTATCCGCTGTTTCATTTTATATATTTAGCTAGTTCTACAGCATACATTTTACTCCTGGTCAAGGTGTTGATTTGCTGTGATCGCCTGGCCGAGATCCCTCGATTATTTTATGGGATCCTGACCAGCAGACAGTTCACGAGTTCACACGTTTAAGAAACACGTTCTATCTAGTACTTTATATCCGTGTAGTGCCCGAGACTTCGCACGTTTAATCCATACCAAGCCACTCAACTATAAAACACTTAAAATATACAACACGAGACTGTGCTACAGAATCATTTCCTGGTGAGTTTCTCCTTCAAAGTTATGTCGAATATTTCTTCAGAAATGGCTGATACAAAACAGTCGCAAATCGACCGAAGTAATGCTGCAAAGGAGCGATTCCGGCGAGCAGCTCGCAAGGTCAAGAATTACTGGATATTTACTAGAAGGTAAGACAGACATTTGCTTTTCGGAACCTTTTTCTAGTATTGTTTAATTGTGTGTATCTAAGATGCGATATCAAAACCACAGTATTCTTGGGTTTGCAGTACAATCTAGAAGTCAAATGTGTTTTTTTATTTTGTTATTTGATACTGTGAAGTAGTCGCCGCCAATAACCTCTTCCTCTTCAGTTTATAATGGCACAGATAGCCTTTGAACAGGCACTTTGGATAAAGCCGTTTTAGAAGACAATATATTCCAAAAATATTAAAGCACAAGTATAGAAGCTATAAATCTTACTGATTTTTACCAAGGGATTCACTCTCCAAAATCATTTTCAAMGTCCTTTTGACGTGTGTCAGTCATATGGTCTGAGATTAATAACTTAATTGTTAGTTTTATGACGACAGTTTATTACAGCTAATCTAAATGCAAGATGGGTTCCCTCCGCACGTTGTTTATGTTTACATCATTCTGTATTGAAATTTCAAAGAAGCCAGTATTTGCAAAAAAGAGAAAACGAAAAATGAAATGTAGGAATAAATATTACGCCATAAATTTTTTTCATATCACTAGGCAACAAAGAGGTGAGATAAATATGAATAGAATTTTAAAGTGAAAATAACAAAAAAAGAAAGAAAAAGACAAATGGTTGGGATGTGGAAGCGCGATGACGTATGAGTGACGTAAAAAGTTTCAGTTTGAGCTCATCGCTGCCTTAACAGTTAGTGTTTTAACTCGATCAACTATGATGATTTCTAGAGAATCAGGCTGTGTAGAAAACAAAAGCATATAAATAACTCGCGAAATTAGTTTTTTAATAATTTAGAATTTTTTTAATAACTTAATGAATATTATCGTGTATGTTGCGTCAGCGGAATAATTAGTTACGTAAATCAAATAAGAGGAATAAAAATTAATTATAATGGTGACATGAATGCCCTACGTAAGAATCAGACTCCATTTAGTAAGATTCAAATATCTAAAGTCGGTGCACTAGGAAGTTGTGAAAAGTTTGAAAAGATTTTCTTATTTTAAATGCTCGCAAAGAAGGTCTTCTAGGAGAGAAAACTTAACTAAGACATTGGAGGTGCAAGCGCCCTTCGCTGCGCGCAYAATTTTTCTTTTTCTTAGGGTAACTCCTCCAAATTCAAAATCCTTCGAAAATTATTTTTATTGTCGTTGTGATAAAATCACAAGTTGGCGTATATATATATAGATCTGAATTTGGGGCTAGTTTCGGAACACTTGACTTTTTAACTGACAGTACTCAGGCTCGGACTGGTTTAACCTTTTCTCGCGCTAAACGTTTTGACCTTTAACACAAACTGACCTTAAAAATAAGTAAAATACACTGATTTTAACCAATTTATTTCAATGTTTAGTTTTGTCATTTTGACTTAAAATATAGCATCCTTTAAATAAGCTATCTAGTAAAAGTGCCAGCATAATTTTACAGTCTCAGTGTAAGGCTTTTTGATTCATCATTTTTCGACCGACCCGCCGCTTGTTTGAACCAAACGGATGTAGCATTGCTCAACATGCGTTGGGAGCAGTTAACCTAACATCAGATACGCTTTCTCCTTAATTGGTAGTATTAAATCACAGRCGCTTGGCATTGTAACGGTTCAATGGCCTAAGAGTAGTCCCGTGATTAACATAAAGCGGTTCTTACAGTGAACCGTTAGGTATAATACTACAGTATTAGACTTTCTTCAAAAGAATGAAACTACTTTGTAAAGCTGATGAAGTTTTTAAACTTCTTTCGACGCTCAAAGATCTGGATTATGGTATTTTGAAATGGTAAGTGAAAAAAGAAAGAGGGGAAAAGAACGATTGTAAAAGTTTATCATTTTTGAAGGCTGTTTCAAATCGATGTTTATTCAAATTACTGCACGAAATTTATTAATAAAGTTAACATTGAGTGACCATCAGCCATTTCTTGGAGGAATCTCATAAGGCCTTATAGAGTTCATGAAGAGCTAGTGACTGACGCAATGCAGGCCAACTTTCGAGATTTGCCATGCCAGTTTTTTTTTCTTTTAAACAAAACGGTTGGACTAAGGCTGGTGGATATTCTTACTCTTTCATATTTTTTTACGTGCAAGTATCAAAAAACGATTTTTTAAAAATATATAAGAAGAGAAGAGAAAACGAATGCAGCGGAACTGTTTTGGTTCGTTTTCAGTTGAATTTACCTTTTATTTTTGGAGTGAACTCTAAATGAAATATGTAACTTGATTCATCAGTTTATTCTTAAATTCCAATATCTGTTGTTCTGTTATTACTTTCTATTTTCTAACATTCCAGCGTTTTCGTTCTTATGAGAGAAAAAGAGAAAAATAGAAATAAAGATTCCCATTTTTCACGGACGTATGTCTGAAGTCGAGGGCTAATAAGTTGCGCATGCGCAGTAAGTAGCCGGTCAGACTTCCTTACAACAACAGAACAAGGACAGCAAGTATTACAACGTTGAGGTCGATAAATACGATAACAATACTCCAGCCTTTGGGCTGATCTCGAGCAGGAATGTCCCTAGTGACAGTTCTACGTTCACCATCTTCAGAAAATACAAGCATCTGCACAGATTCGGTAAATATAGCCGTGTATTTTGACTAAAATTTCTTTCAAATGTCAAACGTTTCTCTCAGCTGAATTTTTCACTTCAGCTTTGTCATGTGAATCTAGACTTAACATTTTTGTACGATGGCTATAGGAACTTGATGAAGATGTCGGAGATGGTTCTCCTAGATCCAGAACGTAAGTTAAACGCTACGTCCTTCAGCTGTTTTAGGTCGATCTTTATATTTGGCACATATTTCTCTCGTAATTTTTTGCAAATGTTGAATGGGCTGGGACGGCTTGTTCATAGATTTTTATCTCATTTGGATTACTCATCCTTATCGAAAACCACAAAGTATCTCTTCTTACTGAATTATAAAAGATCAATAGCTTTTCAACGATCCTTCTGATCTGAAAATTGAAGCCAAACAATTTCGAAATGAATCGATAAACGCCTTGAACTTTCATCGTCTCTCAAACAAACAACATTATACTCAATGTAGCCTTCAATTCAAAATCTAGACAATAAAACCTCAGTAAAATAATACTAGTTGATTAAAAATTCCAATTAGCATTTCCAGAGAAAATTATATTCTATAAAATTCTATGTTTGAAAAAGAAATTCGATTTGTTTCCGTATATAAATGATTATTTCTCGCTACGAGAATGTAAAATTTTAGGGGTGTAAAATTACTTGTGTCACGTACGTACTCAAATGTTTTAATATATTCTACTTATTTAAAACATAAGTTTATACATATATTAACGAAGATGATTGTGATTCCTTTGAATAAATATTGTTTACAGTAAATGTTATAATTTTGATCACGGAAAGCCAACTTCAAAGAAATGGGGAACGATTTTTACGCTTTCAAGGAATGTAAGCTTATTTATTTATTATTTCCTGATGATCTGTAATTGTTCGTTTGAATTTGACAATGCTGACGAAGTCTTTGTTTTTCCTGTTATGAAATTTTCTACAATAACTCGCACTTCTAAAACACTCCAGTTAAACATTAGAAATATCAGGATAAATTTCATATGTGTGTGTTTATAAATAATCATTTTTGACCTTTAATTTTATTTGTGGATATTTAATTTTATAAATGTTATTCTGTCATAGTTTTAATCTTCTATGATACTTGATAAATTATGTTTTTTTAATGACGTATCATTAAAGAGTATTTTAACCTTTCTGTGTTGTCTTATTTTGCCTGCTACTCATATAAGAGAGATTTCCACAACAATAGTATTTTATGGGTCATTATATTTCAACACAGAGAACAATGAATTACAGGAGAGTTCAATTCTTGAATAAACTTAAAAATTACTTAATAGATGTAGGATCTATTTTGAACTCTGTTAATTCCAAGTAATCCTGAAGATAGTGTCTAAATGATTTAAATCTTGTTTGCTAATCCAACTCATTAGTCATGATGCATAGCATGATACAGTAATCATTCTTGCATGGTTAAATTTAATCAATGAGTTTTAGTGATTCAAAATCACCATGCGTTAATTAACATGTGACGTATAATTCATTAATAGAAGGATCTTATAACAGTGATATTTACACTTTATTAAATCATTGTTAATGCCTTTAAATGTTGAACCAATGTGGACTTTGCCTTCCTGGACCACAACAGCTAGTTTTTAGTTAATTCTTTTGTGTTGTAAGAGGATCTGATCAATCAATCATTCCTATATTAGGTTGTCTAAAGGGTTAAATAAGGGTTAAATGATRAATGGTGCAGATATTAATGCAACAGAAATACAAGTAACAAGGTAGGTCTTATAGGTGTACGAGCTATAGACAACTGCCCCACTCTTTTTGAGTGCTTTCAATGCTTCCTAAACAATGAATTATTTCTGAATGAAGGAGAGGAAATGGCCATTTTATACACATAGGAAAAAAGCAATCCATGCTAAGATAAGTAGTTTCCAATGTTTTGTTTGCAAAGTTGGCTGTATGTGTGCCAATGGCATCAGCAACAGTGCTCCATTCACTAATACGGCACAATTCTCCACCAGTCAGGAGAGTGTGTGTGTGCTATCTAATATAATAAAACAAGATATATCCACTCTAATTTACATAATATGTAACCATATATGCTACATGTTTTAAAAATTGTCTGGCCTTTTGAAACTAATATAAAGAAAACCTTAGCTGACCAGTGCATCATAATAATTATAACAATTATACTAATAGTTATTATTAGTATATATGGTATATATTTAGTATTTTCATTCCATACCATTCCACCTGAATGGCTAAATATACAGGACAAAATTTCAGTTATGATCATGACTTAGTCAAAATAATGTTGAGGTACAAAACACCAAACACAGTAACAATAAATTAGGAAGATGAAATTACTGTTGGCAATATTATATTTTTCTCCTTCACTAAAAAACCTTTTTAGACATAATATCTTTTTTACTGTATTATATTTACCTATAGACAACAGTAATATGACAATAATAATTGATTATTACAATTAAGTCTTCTATTTCAAATAAACATGATACTTGTCATATATATATATGATTCATGGGGTGGATGGTAATTCTAGGTGTGGCAATAGACATTAATTATGCAATGTTGTAATTAATTTAAGTTTTTCCTCTTTACTAGTGGCCAAAGCTCATGATAGTAATTAGCAAGTTGATAGTATTTTAGAATTTAAGGTCTGAAAGGGGCAATAAACTATTGTAAAACAAGTTTAAGACAATACCATTGAACTCTACTCAATTATGTCAGTAATATATACAGTATGTCAGTGGCCGTGTTGTATCCAATATACAAACTCAAGGCGTAGCCGAGAGTTTGTATATTGGATACAACACAGACACAAATACTGTAGATTACTTATCAAAGGTCTAGGTTAGTTCCTTCGTGTTTCGCTAAAATTTTCAAGATAAAAGTGAATCTGGCCAAGAAAWTCCATCTTAAAGTTTATGCAAATGAACAGGATTCTGTATCTGATTTACAAAACTCTTCACGGTTGTGATTTCTGTTGTGTTTTCCTCATGAATTATTAATGAGTTTAATAAGTTGAGATTAAAACCCTAAAGATGAGAGACCAATATAGTGGATACATGCTCTTACACCAACATCCTCAGCCCTTGTAATACTGTGCATAATCCTAATGTTTTTGTTTCTTGTAGGTCTAGTTTTGAGGGTTTCTTTGCATCAAAGGGTTCAGCCTTTGCCTTACCTGATGGAGACTTTGCAAGAAAAGCATCCAAACATGGAGGTACTGTACTTATTTATTTATCCTCTTCGCTCCTTGTGGAGCATAAGTGGAGGTACTGTACTGCTGCATGTAAATCATTCCTTAAAGGATATTAAATACCAAAGAAATATTTTTCTCCTGGGATCCTGCTAACACACCACCAAAGATTAAATTATGCTTCATTAAATGGTTACTTACTGGGTTATGATGAATTTATTAAAGGAGAGATGCAGAAACATCTGCAGTCCATGGTCAACCTTCTGAGAGATGATGACATCTTACGGCTGGTAAGCAAAAATTAAAAAAAACCTAGTACTGATATTTGTTTAATCACCATGTCTTCTTTCCTACCTCTCTATTCCATTCCTTTCTTGCTTGCTTGCTTTCTTCCATTATTTCTTCCTAGTTCCTTCTACTGGTAAGTTGATTTCTTTTCTTCCCTTCCTTCCTTCCTTCCTTGCTTAAAATCTTTCCTTAAAATCCTACCTTCCTTCCTTCCTTAAAATCCTTCCTTCCTTTCTACATCTCTCTCTCCCCCTATCTTTATTGACATTTAACCATCTCCTGTTACATTATAGGTTGTCAAACTTGAAGCGAAAATGCCAGAAAGAGTTCGGTATTTGACAGTAGTCTCTTCCTTTAATGATGACGATATTGAAGAAAGTATTGCTATGGGTATAGACACAGACAGCAAGTAAGAAGTGAATTCTACCTTCGTTTTCTTTTGTGTCTAATATTGATGTGT